AATTCTGATGATAGAATCCGTGATGTGTGTGCTCAGTTGGGATATGACTTTGTGAGATGTGTATCACCAAGGGCATAGGTGGTGGTTTAGCTTTAATGTGGAATAAGAACATTGCAGTAACTTTCATCTCTGTTGATGAAAGGCTGATTGATTGTAAGATAAGTAATAATGAAATCACTTTTTATTATTCTTGTGTGTATGGCCATCCTATTCGAAGTCTGAGACATATTCTATGGGAAAAAATAGAACGTATAGAAACAACACGAGTAGGACCATGGCTATTATGTTGAGATTTCAATGAGATTTTGCATCCACATGAAAAACAAGGTGGAACTTTGCGTGAACCTTGGTGTTTAGTAGATTTTAATAACGTGGTCAAGTAGGCTTCAAGATCTCCCTTACTCTGGAAATAATATGACCTGGAGTAATAAAAGAAACCTAATCCAATTCAAATTTGGATTGATAGGGGTTTTGGGAATGATGAATGGCGCGCTAGATTTTCTGCTACTACTATTCAATATTTGGAGATGATTGACTCCGATCATAGACCTGCAATCATTAAAATTCGTGACATAACAGAATATGGTCGTAAGTCATTCTGTTTTGATAGTCGCTATACGGATAACAATGAACTACGACGAGTAATTCAAGAGGGATGGAATGACATGAATCAACCGGGTATTTCTTTTGATTCACGCATTAGATCATGTCGTCATTATATTTCGCAATGGAAAAGAAATTATTCACCCAATGCTGCCAAGCGTATTAAAACTCTCACACAACAAATAGATCTTGCCCACACTGACGGGAATATAACTATGGAGGAGCTTACTACAATGAGTATCACCCTTATTAAGGCCTACGAGGATGAAAAAGCATATTGGTATCAGAAAAGCAGAGTACAATGGTATACTAAAGGGGATCGTAATACACGTTTTTATCATGCGTCCACAAAGAACCGACGCAGAAAAAATAAGATAATATCGATACAATCTCCTGCGGGAGATCTTACAACCGGGAACAAAGAAATTGGCAATGAAGCACAAAGATACTACTCTGATCTCTTTGCTTCTACAAACCCGGGCGATATGTCCTCTATTTTGGATTCTGTTTCGAGTGTGGTTACTCCTGATATGAATGTTTTTCTTTTGTCTCGAGAAGTCACTGATGATGAGATTAAGAAAAGTGTTTTCTCTATTGGCAGTCATCGTGCACCTGGACCTGATGGATTCACTGCAATTTTTTATAAAACAAATTGGGATATTGTGGGACCTTTGGTGATCAAAAAAGTGAGGTATTTCTTCGATAACAGTGTTTTCTCCAGTGATATTAACAAGACAAAGCTCTGACTTATTCCTAAAATCAATCCACCACAAACAATGAAAGATTTCCGGCCTATTGCTTTATGTAATGTTATATATAAAGTTATATCGAAGATCTTGGTCAGCCGTTTAAAGTCTATATTACCACATATAGTATCTGATAAACATGCAGCTTTTATCCCGGAACGTTATTTCTCTGATAACATATTACTTGCAAATGAGGCTTTCCATTCATTACGGGTACGGAAGCAATGTGCTCAAAATTATATGGCTATCAAAACCGATAATAGCAAAGCCTATGATAGAATAAAATGGAAATTTCTGGAAGAAATTATGAGGAAGAAAGGTTTCTGCGATATATGGATCCAGTTGATCATGACATGTGTAACTACTTCTTCATTCTTGGTTTTGATTAATGGAAGTTCTTATGGAAATTTTACAGCCACTCGAGGGCTTCGTCAAGGTGACCCTCTCTCCTCATCCCTTTTTATTCTCTGCTCTGTTGTATTAGCCTGCCTTTTGACAAGGGCTGAGGTTACTAATGATATACAACCATTATGTCTAAGCATTGGTAGACCATCACTCTCTCATTTATTGTTTGCCGATGATTCTCTCTTTTTCCTAAAAGCGGGTATCTCTAATAGTCAAAATTTGACCCATATTTTTCAAGACTATGAGGCGGCTTCTGGAAAACAAATCAACTATGAGAAGTCAGCAATAACCTTTGGAACACAAGTTTTCCAGCACACACGCGAAGCAATACAAAGACTTACTTCAATTACAAACATTGGTGGTGGAGGAAAATATTTAGGTTTACCAGAGCAGTTTGGCCAAAATAAGAAGGAGTTATTTCAGTTTGTGAAAGATAACGTGCTACACAAGATAAAAGGATGGCAAACAAGATTCTTAACACTGGCAGGGAAGGAAGTTATGCTAAAGTCTGTTGCATATGCTATGCCGGTTTTCTCTATGAATTGTTTTCAACTTCCAGTCGAACTTTGTCATGAGATTGATAGCATTGTCTCGTCTTTTTGGTGGGGATCCACGGACGAAATCCGTAAAATGAGTTATGTTTCTTGTAAAAAGATGAAAGTTTCTAAGCAAGCAGGAGGAATGGGTTTTCGCGAGTTACATAAGTTTAATCAAGCCCTTTTAGCAAACCAAATGTGGAAAATATCACAACGTCCACAGAGTCTAATCTTTCGTATTCTTAAACATAGATATTTTCGAAATGGTACTATTTGGTCAGCTACTAAAGGTTCCCAACCTTCATATGGTTGGAGTTCTCTTCTATTTGGTCGTGAGCTCCTTGATCAAGGGATATACATGCAAATCGGTGATGGAAAATCTACAAAACTGAGTGATCATTGGTTACCAACGATCCCACCTCGTGCTCCTTCACTCCTTCCTTATACGAATCCATTATTGGAAGTTTCAAGTCTAATAGATCCGCTTACAAACCAATGGGATGAACAACAGCTGATGGATTGTATTGATCTTAACGATCATCATCTCATTACTCGAATCTACTTACCACCCTTTTCACAACAAGATAATGATGTATGGAGTTATACACGAGATGGTAATTATACTGTTAAAACTGGATACCATATGAGGATTTCTGACCCCTCCTCTGATAATGATAGACGTCCGCCGCTTGCTCATCATCCTGACCTTGCAAAAGATATCTGGGATATTGATGCACCGCCGAAATTAAAGCAATTCCTATGGAGGCTTATGTCCAACGCTCTCGGAATAAAGTCAACGCTCCGGTCGCGCAATATTAAAATTGATCCTTCTTGCTCAAGATGCTGTACGGAGGAAGAAACCAAAGATCACCTCTTTTTGGTTGTCCTTTTGCAACTATGATATGGCATCTGACCGGACTACCTATCATTAGCTTGCAGCAAAGTAATATCATGTTTGAAGACAAAATTCGATATTTATTAAAGATTATGAGAGATACAAATATTCCAAGACCAACACGGCTCCTTCCTATTTGGACGTTATGGAGATTGTGGAAGTGCAGAAATGATTTACTGTATTCAACAACGGACCATTCAATTAAGAAGTGTTTTGATTCAATAAATACATATATAGCCGAGTGGGTAAGTATTGTGAGCCTGGACTTTTCTAGATCTGCTGTGAATGGGATCTCCACGCGACAAATTCTGAGATGGAAACCACCACCTATAGGATGGGTTAAGTGTAACTATGATGTTTCTCTTACACAATATCAAACCTCTGGTATGGGCTGGGTCATTTGGAACTCTCAGGGCATATTACTGCACTGTGGAATGGGTAAATTTGAAGGACGACATACCGTGGAAGAGGCAGAGGCTTCAGCTCTTATATGGTCAATGCAATGTGCTTGGTCACTAGGGTATCATCGAGTTATTTTTTGAAGGAGATAACCTTAACCTGCATCAATACCTATTGAACTCTTCAAGTGCTCCTGAACTATGTTTCTCTCTTACAACAATAGAAGCATGGAAGAAACAATTTACATCTACCATTTTTCAACATACGGGACAGCAAGGATACACAGTTGCTGATAAATTAGCCAAAACAATTATTCTGAGAAATCAAGATTGGAGTTTGTTCCATACTGGTCCGTCTTTCTTAAAACAATTTGTAATTTGTGATCATTAATCATTTTAAGAAGGCAAAAAATCTCAAACTCTAATTTTAAACTTTAACTAAATTCAAACGACTCAAATAAGCTTTCTTGCAAGTCATAAATTAAACCCTAAATGCAGCTTTGTTACAAATCATAAATTAAACCCTAAATGCCTAATATGTAAACCATAAAGTCGATCTACACCCAAATTGACGATTAAGAGTATTTCTAATTCCACTATACTTCTTACTCCAAAATGAAAAGTAAAATAAAACATATTTCAGAATTGAGTGTAGAGTATAGTTTTTTTTTTCTTATTATACTTCATTTTCCATTTCATAATAAAATAAAAATATCTACATCATATGTTTTGTATGTTTATTACTCCATTTTCCATTCAAAAATTGAGTAGAATTAGAATAAAACTCAACTTCCTTATCAAATTAATTAATTTGAAAGAAAAAAGTAAAATTTTACATTAGAAGAAATGCTTGTTAGGAAAACCTAAGCCGTTAATGAATTAGGAGAACCTAATCGCAATGTCAACTACCCAACAACGAAGCCATAAACATATATATGTCTGAGAAACTATTACGGGTTAATTATGCAAGTACTAAATGTTCATATCTTTCAATGCGATAAACAAGCATTGAGTGCATAAGAAAATAATGCAAGATTTGTTGCAGCTAATCATTGGTAGATTTTTTGTATCAAGAGCGAAATGAGGTTCTTAAAATAATTCTACTTTCTCCTCTACAGTGGAGTAACTTTGAGAACTGAATTTTCTTATACGAGCCTTACCTGGTCCTCATATTTTGTTGAGAGCATTTTTGGCCTTTAAATGTAGAGAGAAATGTTTAATTACGAAGAGATCAAAGGAGAAATTAAAATGAATCCGGTTTGAATCAACAAGAGTTTTCTTAAAAACAAACAACACAATCATAATTTAGCCTTTTCTATATATTCTTATTGGGGATATTCACTGATTGCACAACACAAATTTGCTTGAGATGTCTTTGGTACACACTCAATTCTGTTCCCCTTTCATTGACCACAATCTAGCCATCATTGAGTGCACAACACACAACTGCTTTGCCATGACCTCGGTACACTCTCAGTTCGCTTCCCTCTTCCACTGACCACAATCTAGCCGTCAGGTCCGATGATGCTGTGCAATTTAAAACCAACTTAAAGACTCTTCTTATGTCTCGCACAAGTGTTCAAGTGAATAGAGATTAGTACCTGTAAAAAGAAATTTTGCATCCACTGAAAAGGCGCAGTCCCAGACCCATCTTTGATGTCCTGTTAAATAAGATTGATGTCTTTGAACTTGAGAATGAAATACTACGTTGAAAACATGGATATCATACCTGTTAAGATTTTATGTAGCGTGAAATTATCGACATTCCAGATCTTGACAGTTTTATCGGAAGATGCCGTCGCTAGATATCTGATCAAAAACATATATGTAAAGTTTCCAAGGATTGAAGAGAACAAAGAAAACGTTTTAAAGAAAGCCTTACTTGTTTCCAGGAGACAGGACACATTTAAGGATGTGTGTATTATGAGCTTGAAGCCTATGAATAGGTTCAAACTCAGTCATCACCTGAAAAATAAAGAAATTATTTATCAAAATTTTAATATCCCATAGGCTGATTCGGCCAATTTCACTTGGAATAATCTATTGCTGCATAGTAGACCTTTTCCTAAAACCGCCACAGTTTGAACCGGATTTATAATGTTTTCGATTGATGCCAGAGATAATCAGACAGATTACCAGGTAAACTGGCTGTCCACAAGTCGAAGGTTACATTTTTTACATAGCTGTGATTTTTTTTTAAGAAAGGCTCGGGAAGAATTGATTTTCAAAATGCATGCACAATTACAACACAACTACGTCTTAAAAACTTAGGGAATGTTGCCTGGTCGTATATATGGAGTTATGGACATGGACAATGCAACTGATTCTGTCCATGTTCGATCAACACTAGAACACAAATAAACACTTGTATCCAACGAGTTTAATGAGAAGAATACCTGATTTCCACGCAAGATGTTCCATATAAAACATGTGCCACGGTCGTTAGCAGCAACCAACATTGTCCCATCCCCCATAACCGATAAAGACTGTATAGCTGTATCAGCTTCTGGTACCTATTTATATATAGTTACACAGCCGAGTGATTTATCAAATCCTTTTTCTTTAATTTTAGTGTAACTCTTGTAAAAAGAAATGTACCAGTTCAATGGTAATTGCATTCATTCTGGTATCCCAAACACGTATAATTCCGTCTTGGTCTCCAGATATCAATTCAATCTGTACCATTTTACCAATTAGATTGTGATTAACACACACAACTAAAAAATGAAAGCTGATAACAACACAAGCACTTACAGATATACGAGTTAACTAGAGTTGATATACCTGATTTGGGTGTAAAACAACTGTGTTAATTGGGGTAACACTTCCATGGGGCTGATATGCCTTTAGGCAATTCCGTTCGTACTCCTGTGGCGGATCGGGAGCCCTGCGTTTCAGTCAACAAAGTGTTGCTAAGAACAGGTCCTTAATAATTAACATTGATTTCATCGTAAAAGAAACTGTTTGTACCTCAAGTCCCAGATCCTAACTGTGCCATCCTCTGATCCTGAGTACATCGAATTGCCATTAGCATGAAACCCAACGGCCATAACATTGCTGGTGTGTCCAACAAAGGTCCTCGCCTGCATGATGCCCACGTAAAACTCCATGTCCAGGAAACCAAAAAAAAAAAAACATTGAAATAAATAAAAGATATTTACATGTAGGGTGTTGATGTCAAAGAACCGTATATAAGGATTGCAAGCTGCTGCTAGATGACGCTTATCTGGGCTTATCTCGAGCCTGTTCACATGCTCAGGCTTATTTGGGTTTTCATAGAGCTCTTCTTCAGGCTAAAATGAAAATATTTCAGATGAAGTTACAAATTTCATTATTATCATGAGTGAGAGAGAGAGAGAGAGAGAGAGAGAGAGAGAGAGAGAGAGAGAGAGAGAGAGAGAGAGAGAGAGAGAGAGAGAGAGAGAGAGA